TTACTGAACACACAACTGCTGAATATGTGACACACAATGCTTCTTACAACCCCTCCACCACAAGGGAAAGCCCTGCAGCCACAGAAGCCTGGGTTTCCTTGTCAGCTTTCTGAGACACTGAGGAATTAAGCGGAGTGTACTACAGTGCTCTGAAGCTCCGCTCTACTTCCAGGAAGCATTTTTGGTTTCTTCCATATATGAAAGAAATGTGAAAGGTGAGCTCACCTTTCACTCACCTTTTTTTATAGCAGCAGTTGATGAAGTCTACGATATTTTCAAATTCCTGGATGCATATATTCTATTTCATATCACACAAAGAGTAAAGTCCATCCTCCCATGCAGACATGCTCACCTCACAAAGTAGCACCTTGGATCTTATATTTTGTGACCTGGCCTAGTATACCTACAGGTCAGTTTGAGCCTCTGAAATGAACTATAGCTATCAATTCAACCTTTCTGTCTCAGCAAAACTCAGTACCTCCAGTTTTTCAAACAACAGCCACTTAGATACTTCTTTTTGTGTACAGATTTTCAGAGCAATGCAGTGCACCGAGGGTACATAACTTCATCCCACAAGAAAGGGGATGAAACTAAATCACATGTGGCAAGTTCTAGTCATATCACCTAGTGTGCTCCAAAACAAACAGCTCTTGCACTGCCAAACAAGGTACAATACCATGGGTACAGAATATGAGCATGAAAAAAAAGGGTTAAACAATAATAAAGAAATTACAAAGCAACAACAACAACAAAAATCTAAAATGTTTTCCTCTAGAAGGTGATGATCAGCTCTTGTTATCTGAACCAGTTTACTCACACCTACACCAAGCCCACTTGATTTTCCCATAAAGGGCACATATTTAACTCAACCCACAGTGCTTAGAGATCCTTCTGCTAACTTGAGCTACTTGCTCAAATGGATTTCAGACAAAGTCCACTTCTGTTTTTCTTCATGGTGCCAGTGTTGCTGAGATATTAGAAGCCCTTGAAAAGGGAAACAATGACACACACTATTGTGGTACAAAGACAGTATACAAATTAATTTCTGTGGCACAGGAGATTACAGGAGATAAACTGCTTACTCCTGCAGAGGGAAAGCACATGGCACTAGCAAAGAATTTCAGCTTGCACATGGAAAAGACAGCAGTGCCTGACACCAAAAATCAAGGGTTTATAATCTGCACTTCCTCCAGAAAATGTTACAGTTTGCCATACAGTGAAGTTATGTGCATTTAAACCATCTGTTTGTTTGTAGTATGTAGCAGCTCTCTCATATCTTTATAAAAGTCAAGTTGCTAATAAAAGGTCAGTATAAAAATCTTACTTTATACACAGAAAGAATAGCTTGCTAATTCTGTCTCTTCACTAACATTCAAGAGTTTTCAGGTGTTTGTGGTCAGGACAAAGTAATCAACATTCTTTCAAAAAGGACTCTGATTTTAAAAGGTAAAATATTAGCAGCACTGGGAAACACTGAAGGATATACTTCTTACTAAATTTGTACTTAGCAGGAATTGAAGCATACGTTAATGTAATGCATATGTAATAGCTTCTCTGGCACGAAGGTAACTTTTATGACAGTCTGAAAGATTCAGATGAGAAAAGGTACTCTGATAAACAGAGATCCAGCATGCATTTTAGGAGATTTCATAGTGTGCAGTCACTACTTCCCAGTTCTGACTGGGACTGTAAAAACTGCCTTAACAGAAATCTGATTAGGAGAAATCTCAGCAAAACTCACGCTCCAGACTAATATAAAGTAGAAACTTTTCAGCTTGTTTTAATGGGACCTATTCATTTTGTAAGGAACAAAGGAAGTAAAACTTTGTATTTAAGAGCAAAGTATCATTCTTGATCTACAGATAAAATATCCCCAAACCTCTCAGAGGATCTACACAGACTAAAAGGTCTGTTGTAAGCATGGATTGGAGCCCTGCTTTCCTTTCCCTTCCCAGAGGAACAAAAAAACTCACTGCTTTTTTCCAAGCTGTTGCTCCCTTTACCAGTCTGAAGGAGCAGATGCCATGCTAGTGCACAGTATAGGAGATCTCACACAGCTTTAATCAGGTGACACCCCAGGCCCCAAATACAATGAATGCACACAGACTTCCCACTACAGAAAGCCTGGAGCTTCTATGCCTGATACTTAACAGTCAGCAATGTAAATCCTCCTGTGCATTTCCCCATGTGACAGCCCAAGGTCTGAAGGCCAGGACCACCCCTTGGAGTAGTGTCACCAGAGCTGTGTCACAGGATGTCTGTGCATTTCTCCTGATATGCCAGTGCCTAACACAGACATTAATATAGTGGAAAAACCAAGTTTCTTTACCATTATAATTTATTTCCATGAGGATACTAGCACTACCAAAGATACAGAGTCCACAATAAGATATTTTTCTCTTTAGCTGTGACAACAAAGCTGTTAAGAAAATCTAACAGCCTTGTCTAAATGCTTCCAGTATCTTTCTTATTGATAAACATCTGTTATTGCAGGCTAAGGGATCTGCTGAACTCTGCTGAACCCCTGACAGGCTTTAAGTCTTAAATCCTTTTAGATTTATTGGCTTCTTTCCACAGTGAATTCATAATAATTTAGGAACAAAAGCCCACTTTCTGTTGCCTTAAAGAGAAATGCCCACCAGCCAGCTAGAGAATGCAACTGCAGCCAAGCCTAGGGTCCTGCAACCCAAGAGGACTGGGGTGGCTCCTTGGGTGGCTGGCCATGCCCTGGGGACAGCAGGGCTGGGGGACAGCAGGGCCTTCAGGAGCAGTGGGAAGCCTTGTGCAGCCCTGGTGATGCAGGTGGTTACACATTTTGTAAGACAGGAAAAGTTAGGCAGTGTTGGACTCTCCACACAACACACAGCAGCCCACCCATGAAGCCAGATTTACATGGATCTTTATCATCTCAGACCTCTTCTATTCTAATTAAACTGGTGGTGAAAAACATCTCAGCACCAAGCCAAATACTGTTGGGAAAAATTCACACAGATATCTTTGATTTTAAATAAAAATTCCAATGCTGAATTTATTTGCTGCAAATTTTGGGAATGCTCATATTAAGATGTCTTTTGCAAAGTCTAAGCCAGTGTCAGTAAAATCTTTATGGTGCATGGTAATTCTGCAAATGAATTGCAACTCTTACTCTGCCTCTTCTTTTTCTGTGATTGACCTAAAGTGAGAATTCATTGAAGGGAAGCAATTGTTTGATACCTCTGATGTGTTAGTGGGTTGAAACATAAAATGGGGAAGAAAAGCATCTGAGCTAAGTTTCTCTGAGCACTCTACATCTTGATGCTATTTCTTTTAACAGCTTCACAGTGGAAATAAACTGCAGTAAATGCTTAAAATAGATTTTTGTTCCAAAAGATGGGCAAATCTTTTTAATAGAAACTGAGCAGAATATTACCACTTAACTGTTCTTGCTTCTACAGCCTGGGGTCACCCCCACTGCACTGCCCATCCTTCTTCAGAAAGACACAGTGACTGTGTTGAGCCACTTTCCAAATCCCCCAGATTCAATTCTGTGTCTTCTGAAAAATGTCTGCCACTTTCAGCTTTAGCAGTCTAGCAGGAAACTTTTTCAGGGAGATCAGCAAGAAAAGCCATTGTGCTATTAGGAAGTGACACTGTTAGTATGTCCTGGCACTTGAGTTCTCCAGCTGTAGCACAGAAGTAAAAATCAGAGGTGGATCTGCTCTCTGCAAAAAGAGTTATAAATTATAAGAAATGTCTGCACTCAGTTTAGATTAGCATACTATTTTAGTCATCCTCATTCATGTGGCTTGCTTGAAAAAGAAGAGCAATTAAAGTAAAAATATGGAAACATTTTATATGAAAACGGAATACAGATTTTTTTTTTTTCCTTTTATTCTCCTGTATCTGCTTGTTCTCTAAATTTGTTTCTGGGATTACCAAAGCCCTGCTTCTGAGTATATGAATTGCCATGTGAAATCAGATGAAATCTGCCATTTTTCCAGGAGGCAGATATCTTGCTTTCCCTGGTCATACGCAGCTTTAAGATTCATTCTTATCTAACATTCATATTTTCTTTCTAGATAGCTAGCTCTTTTTTTTTTTTTTGTAAACAAATCTTTCCACTTGTAAGCATGTAAGAAGTTTCTCTGTAGATCAAGTTTATTTTGATCCTTGAGATTTTCCCTGTACCACAGACAAATATATTCTCCCTTTCAGACTTTTTACTCTATTTGTCAAACATTATGCAGTACTTTAATGACTGTGATTAACTATGAGTGCCCAGCACAGGATTCCCTCAACAAGCATGAAATACTAGCAAAAGCAGCAGGTGATGCTCAGGAGGGGCTGAGAGGGGTTATCTCTGATAAGTTTGAATTCTTGTAGCCTGGCCAAGAGTTTCAGGGATGGCAGGGGTCACGAGCCATGTATGCAGAGCCAGAAAAAATGTTTTCCAGATGTTCTGATAGAATCCTCTTAATCTCAGGTGCTTACATACATGTACACACACACATCCTCAGAAAAGGAAAGAAACCAGTAATTTGGCTCACAAATGATGGAACAATTGCAAAATACTTCACACAACATCTTTCAGGAGTAAATGGATTTGTTTATGTCACCCATATCTATGTGAGATTACCTGGTGTGCCTTGATGTGCAGAAAATACGATTCTCTGATTATTTCTTAAAAGAGCAGCGAACAGATTTGAATAGATATCAGAGCATGTCCATGCCCATCACACCCTCTCCTGACACTGGCTTCTGAAATAAGTATGTGAAATCTTGGTTTCTGGAGCAAAAGACAAATTTTGGAGAGAAGTAAAAATTAGTCCATGGGAGTATGATAGCCCAAACACCACCTCCTCTGGGGATATCAGTTGCTCTAAAAAGTGTAATAAAAGGATTCAGCATGTGAGGACTGTGAAAGGTTAAAGAAGAGTGCACAGTCCCTCTTCCCCCACCATTTCAGTGTCATCTGCAACACCTCCAAACGCAGCCTGATGTACTCCTCTTTTTTTTTTCAGTGCTCCTCAGCTCCTCAGCATCCAGATTTTGCTTTACTCACCATGAAGGCCACAATCATTGCAACCTTCTTTGGTAAGTACAGTTGATGTGCTGCCATCAGTAGTTCATGAGTTTGTAATCTCCCATCCTGGATGCCCAGGGGCTACTGACTAATTCTCTTCCTTTTGGACTCCATGGCTGGTGAAGCTCTCAGTGGCAGGTGTAAGCCTTGGCACAGCTTTTCAGAAATGGCCTACACAAACTTCTTGACTTTGGCATAGAAAAATAATACTAATTACTTGCAGAGATCTCCAGGTATATGACCAGTTATATGTAGAAGATATCACGTGGGCCTGAAAAGTGTCTGTAATGTAAAGATTCCCTCTAAAGAAAAATCAGCTGTTTCAATTCTCCCACTTGTGCTTGCTCTTTCCATAAACAAGATGGTACCAAAAGGTTATAAATGTGTCTTATTTTCTTTCCCCTGGCAGTCAGACAGGATCTCACTTCTTGGATACACGTAGAAACTCTAGAACTTGCAATTCATCTTACATGAACAGTCTGGTTGTGACATTCCCAAGCAATATTCTCTCCAGCTGTTATCCTCAAGTCTGTCAGGACAGTTGTTCTTAGTTCAAATTACAGCAATCTGTGTAGTTCTTCTACATAAACTACCAGATTACTTTCCCCACGTTAGATTATGCTGCAACATTCCAAGTAGTTGAGATATTGCACTTTAGTTTCCTCTCATGCATTCCTTTTTTTTAAACTAACTAACTACAGTTTTGCCATGGTTACACAACTGCACCAGTGACAAAAGGCCCAAATTCTGCACCTATGCACTGTCCTGTCAGGCAGTGTGAGACTGCTTTAACTTTTGAGCAAGTTCTAGGTGTGATTAAGTCTACAAACTCTCTGCAATCATTCCAGGGGGAGAAGAGCATGAAAGAAGGAAATTGCTTCCATTGCATATTCTAGTAAGATTAGTTTAACAAAGGATAAAAGGATCAGCTGACAAGTCATAGAGAGTTTCAATTCCCTTTAAAAGATCAGAGGAGGGAAAGGTGAACAGGAAAGTCAAGATATTTGTAATGAAGTTATCAATTACCCATAATACAGTGCATCTAAAATAAGCAGAGAGAATAAAGTGATTTTGTATGTCATCACTTAGCAAGTAAACATAACATGGTAAGCTACATGCATATATTGGGATGTAACTTTTAAAGTAACAGCATATGTCTCTTTTTCACTTTTCAAATTATGATCCTGCTTACTGAAGAAAACGGGTGCCCTTGCTGGGACATGCCACCCTAGAACCTCACAGAGTCTGTAGTGCTGCCCAGTATCCCTCACCTGCTGCCACCAGTGAGTGAAATGTCACAACACAAAATTACAGAATAACCTCCCCAAATGGTTATTAAGAAGAATCTTTGGCTCGCAAAATTCCCAGTTGCTTTATGCACAGAGCACATTGTTTCATTAACATCCATACTGCACCAATTACTAAGAGTTCCCACTGCTTGAGGAAATATGTTTGTGGTGTTCTGGACCACATGGACTCCATGGCATCTTGAGATAGTGAGTTCCACAGATGAACATGTGAACTGAACTGAACTGAACTGACTTTTAATCCCCTTCAGAGAACTTCCCCACAGCAGATGACATCTTGATGCCATCTCAACTACAAAGTTAACCACCAAGTAGAAACCTAGATGTGGCTGAGAATATTCCTATTTCAGATTTTCATCCTGTTGATTTAAATTTGAGAAATCTCATGCAGAGGAGCTTGTGGTGACTGATGTTGATAGTCCATGTTTTTCCTGATACTATGTTTATTTGTTCTAGGTGTGTTTCTTACATGTACATACACAGCCAAGGAAGCCACAAAGAAGACAAAAAAGGCTAAGCTATGTAAGTTGTCTCAGTAGAATTTTTGGCTGTTTTACAGCAGACATGTCCAGTACATAAGAAAGGTGCAAAGTGAGATTATATTCTGGTAACTCTTCACAATTGTCTAGAATCAATGGCATTATATGTTAGCCAAAAGATTCTTTTATTGTTGAACTGAACTGAACTGAACTGACCTTTAATCCCCTTCAGAGAACTTCCCCACAGCAGATGACATCTTGATGCCATCTCAACTACAAAGTTAACCACCAAGTAGAAACCTAGATGTGGCTGAGAATATTCCTATTTCAGATTTTCATCCTGTTGATTTAAATTTGAGAAATCTCATGCAGAGGAGCTTGTGGTGACTGATGTTGTTAGTCCATGTTTTCCTGATACTATGTTTATTTGTTCTAGGTGTGTTTCTTACATGTACATACACAGCCAAGGAAGCCACAAAGAAGACAAAAAAGGCTAAGCTATGTAAGTTGTCTCAGTAGAATTTTTGGCTGTTTTACAGCAGACATGTCCAGTACATAAGAAAGGTGTAAAGTGAGATTATATTCTGGTAACTCTTCACAATTGTCTAGAATCAATGGCATTATATGTTAGCCAAAAGATTCTTTTATTGAAAACAAATCACTGAGTAAAGTGTGTGCCACTTAACATTTATAAAGGGAAAATTTTGTAATTCACTGCTAAAATGTATCTTCATAGGTCATTAGGTACCACACAAGGATCAAAGCAAGCACTAAGGTTTTCACACAGAGAGAGAGACATAAACACGTGAAACGGGCCGGCTGTAACACAAAGCACAGGTAGCTGATTTGTGTGAGACAAGTGCTGCATCTCTGTGCACTAGGATGTTTAACTTTCAGCTATTCTGCTGCAGGAGACTTCTGTCCACAGATTATTTTGCTCATGTAGCTGACAAACAAGCCTGCTGCAGGGTTGTAAATGCACACTTAAATCCCTTGTTCAAAGTAAATTGTACCCAGCAGAAAGTTTTAAAAATTAAGGGCAAGATAATGGGCTGTGACTTCAGCCTGACATAAAGATGGAATGGAGCTACATGAGCACAGTGGGAGGCTTGGGAAGCATCCCCACCCCCTCCTTCCCACATGTTAACCATAGGCTGGGTGACTACACTTCTTTCTCTCTCCAGCAAATTGTCATAACAGATATTTTCTTCAGAGAAGCAAACACTGAAAGTCAGAAATACCCACAGGCCTCTTTATCCCATCCTTAGTTACTACCACATCCCTTGGAAGAGGGGTTATTATGTGTTATGTTGTAGATGGAGAAGACACAGATGTCTTGTATCCCAAAACCATTCATATGAAGGCTTGAGAGGAGGGCATCCCTGTCACTCAGTTACTCACTGTTTCATGACCAGATCACTCAGCCATGAAAGCATTCAATCTGACTTTACCAAGATTTTGCACTCACAGATGTACCCCAGATTGATTGTGATGTCAAGGCGGGGAAGATAATCAATCCAGAATTCATTGCAAAATGCCCTCCTGGATGTCAAGATGTAAAATACCGTGTTTATGGCACAGACATTTATGCTTCTTTTTCCAGTGTCTGCAATGCTGCAATTCACAGGTGAGTGAGTTGAAATGAGTGAGGCACTCAGACAAAACTGTCATTTCAGTGCAGGGAGCTTCTGACTTTTCAAATTCTTTACAGTTCCCACTTGTAGGATTGATTGCAGGCTGCTGTAGAAAACCTGAGAGAAAGTCCATGTGTGATGGAGTGGATCCATTCTTACAAAGTGCTGTCAATCCTGTATGCCTATAGAAATTAGTTGTGTTTGAAGAAGTTTCTCAACCTTTGGAGAAGTGTCTTGAGATTTCCAGATCTCTCATTCATGCATAACAAATTACTATTGTACTATTATTATTCAAGTGGAAGATTGAGATGGAGCTGCTACTACTAATAAATCTTCAGAAAAAATAGGCACATCACCAGTGATGAATACATATAACTCACATACTTCTGGGATTGGTTTGGTTCTCTCGGTTTGAATTTAATTGTCCTTGACACCAAACACTGAGTAATGTGCTTTCCTGCTACATAAAAGGACACTGCACAAGGAAATTAGTAACATAAATTTTGTAGCAAAAGTTTTTCAGAGTTTTATTATCCATGCAAAAATGTGCATAAAATTCTAATGGAGAATAACTGCAGAACCAAAACACACTGCAGCTGGGATGCACAGGCAGGATGTATCCAGCTAAAAATGCAGCAAGAAGTTCTAAACCCTGACTGACGACTTAGTTTGGAGCTATTTGAGCTACCTCTGTGCTTTCGGTTCTGTGAAATACCTGGGATCTCGGGCAAAGTGGGATAGTTAGGGCTTTGGGACTTTCCCCCACGCCTCTGCCCTGCTCGGTGCCCAGGCTGAGGTGCCTGTGTGCGCACAGGGCTGCCACCTCCTGGGGAGATGACTGCCCGGCGACGGCTTTCCAGCGGCAGATTCCTCCCTCACATACTAGTGCACAACGGAAATTGTCTTGGCATCCAGAATTAGTCCCAAAGGGAAGTTAAAAAATACTGGCAGCAACTGCGATCTCCCGGCAGCCTGGCTGGCTATATTGTTACAATGAGGGCTTCAGTTTTTCTCATTTGACAGCTGGTTTTGGCTTTGTTAGCTTACATGTTGCAGTTCCACAGTGAATTTCTTCTCCATACATTTATTTTAACGGCAGCTTCTCACAATAACCGCAGCAAAATACACTTCTAACACACTCTTCAATCCTGTTTGCTGGCCAGTACTTATTTTCCTGCCTGGTCATTACTGCCAGCCCTACAACACCCCTACAGCTGCAGCTGCTTCCCGGCTAACCTGCTGTCCTAGCGATGCCAGAGCAGGCTGCATACACTGAAGGATTTCTGTTTGTCTGGAGGTACATGTTACAGTGTGTGTTAAACACCATTTGATGTGCACTACACCTGGAGTCTGCCAGGTTTTCTACAGTTTCCAGCAATATTGCGTCCAGTTTACTCCAGGCTGAGGTCAGAACCATGCTTGGGTTTTTGCAGAAAACACATACTGAGACTCAAAGAAAACACATTCTGTCACGTGGTTGGCCTGAAAACTCCTCTGAGAACCTCTGCCTGTATCTTCAGTCATTCAATCAAGCTTGCAGGAATTGCAATGAAGGCAGTAGCTTTTTCTTGTGTGCAACTAGGTCAAGCTTTAACAGAGGACCAGCAGATCAGTGGGAAGAGCAAACAGATCCTGACAGCACTTTGCAACAAACTGCTCTTCTTTATGTAGAAGGAGCACAATTATTTCTTAGCAGCAGGCTTAGTAGTAACATCACAGCCCCACCACTGCCCCTGGTTTAAAGGTAAAAGGAATCACTTCATAGCTCTTGCACTGTAGAACAGTTTTGAAGGTTTTTGTGATGTTTCTACCCTCAGACACTGTGTTTCCTCCTTGCAGCGGTATAATTGACAACACAGGTGGGAAGGTTCTTGTCCAGAAAGTCGCCGGGCACTCTGGCTACCGCGGGAGCTTCTCCAATGGTGTCCGCTCCCTGTCACTGCCACGCTGGAGGGAGTCCTTCCTCGTGTCAGGTACCGTCCTGGGGTGGGGCACTCCCCTCCTGCTCCCCACCACTGACTGCTGAGGGCAGAGGGGGAAGCAGCCTCTCATTTAACACACCTGGTTAATCACCACAAGCCCACCCCAGTGAGCTTTGGCAGGAGTGGTGCTTTTGAGACACTTCTCGTTCTGGGCTTCCCCTGTAGCCTGCAAAGAGACCTGCACCCTGCCAGGGGTGTGCTCTGCTTGGCCCAGCCCAGTGCAAGGTCTGAGCCCGCTGCAGGAGGTGATGGCTGCTCTGGATTGAGCCTTGGAAGACGCCTTAACTCCAGCTATTGATACACAAAACCTCCTGCTCTTCACCCTGGTAAGCAGTGCTGCTGAGGGAACTGAAAGGCCTTTTGGCCATTTGAAACATCCTCACCCTGCACCTGAATTTGTATCTCCCAAAATGACTTCAGACTTATGTCAAACCCCACATAGCCCTACATACTGCATGTATGCAAACCTTATATTAAGCAAATTTACTGGTGCATCCCAAGTATGTCAGGAACTCTATCCACCTCTGTTAGCCAAATAGTTTTGATATCTAATCAGTACAGGTAAATCCATCTTGCTTTGATGCTCATTCCTTTTTCCTCCTTGTGGTATATATAGGAACTCACTTGCATTTACCAATTAAATTCACAGATCTAAATATTTTTTTTTGCAAATTAGATCCCCTTTACACCAGCTTCAGATTATCTTAAACCTACTTGCACTCACTCTACCTTTGTGAAAGAGGGTTTGCTTGACCTTGTCTTACATAAAAATTCTTAATCTAACTTCTTGATACTTTGGAACAGTTCTTGCTGGTCTGCACTTTTGGAGGTTTAAGATAGGTACAACCAGTTGATGTTAGTTAACTACATCATTCCTGGAAAAATCAATAGCTCAAGCAACTGAACAGCTACAAAAAATAATGTTCTTTTCATGTGAAAATCTGTAGACAGCAAAAGAGGTCCCAGAAACTGACCAAAACAAAATGTCATCTTAATTTTGCATTCATGTATTTGGATGCACTTTTTTACACTAGTCTGCCAAGGATATACCATATTATGAGAATGATTTATTTTGGATGAGTAGGAATTTCCTGGAATAGCTGAATTGCTACTTGTACTTGTTGCAGTTTTTTTTTCCAACAAACAGCACATTGTAATTCTGGTATATAAGTGGGAAATAGGTTGTTTCTTTTTTAACTCAGCAGCTGCTCAGTTGTCATCCTGTAAAACAGTAGAAATTATTTCATGAAAGTGTAGGAATTTTTTATTTATGATAATAAGTCTTTATTCTTAATTAATGAGATACTATAAAAGAAGATACAAGAGAAAGTTACAAGAGCATATCAAAGGAGATTATGAGAAACCTGGGTATGTGTAGGCATGATGAGATTTGTCCCTTGTGTACTTAATTCTATGCACACTGAGTGCTCTCATTCATGGCAGTAGAACTCTTAATTTATAAACTAGCTCAAATATAAAGCTCACATATCATATAACATACATTCTGTATTTCATATATGAACAGGAAGAAAACTTTCACTATACCTACTGACAATGTGAGAAATTTAGAATTTTAGAGAAATTTAGAATACTAAAACTAGGAAGGCTGTGCTACTCAGCAGATCTGTAGGCTGAATGCATACAGATCTCCTTCTCAGAGAGGAGTTGTGCATGGATATTTTATGATTATAAGTCATAAAAAGCCAGAGCTGCATAAAGCATTGCCCAATAAAAATATAAAGTCACCTAAGGCATTAATTTCAGGATGGCTTTAGAGCTTTAGAACCGAGTCCCCTATTCTCCAGCTGAATTCTCTTTCATCAGAGCAGACCTCAGTGCAATACTGTACCCTGGAAATGTGCCAACAGCTTATTCCTAGTTAGGATATTGTCTCCGAGTTTGTGATGTTTAAATTGTGAATGAACATCCACACAAAAGAGCACGGAAGAGGAATCCTTGGGGGACCCAGGGAATAAAGTGGCATGATTTAGGGGTAGTGGAGAAAGAGGCCTGTCCTCTGCGATTAAAGCAGCCAGCACACCAGGAGGTATGCAAACACTTTGGTATTCACTTTCAAGCACTGAAATGCCTTGGCACTCAGCTGAATGACTCCATTCAGTTTAGTGGGAGTTTTGAAGCTAGTGGGTTAAGAAAATAGTCCTGAACTTCTGGTTTGCTAGTCACAAATAGGTGTGAGAGGGTGAACAGCCACTGCACTACAGCAGCCACCATGCCATAGCTTGTATTTCAATGGCCAAAGCTGATGTTTTCAGCCCACATGAAAACACGTTTTTAAGTATGTTAAGCAAACTCCAACCTAGATGTTACTTTTTCCCAATAGTGAAAAAGACATATTAGCATTGTCCCAGAGAACAAGGCCACATTCAGGTCAGGCCTCAGGCCTACCTCTTGGTCACACATGGGATGCAAATTGCTGTTGATCAAAAATCCTAGAATCCAGCCTCCCCACCCTAGCTGATGTATTTTCACAGCAGCAGGCTTCAGGTTTGCATCAGAAATCAGTTTCACACAGAAACATACCAAATTGTGATCAGATGATCATGCTATTGCTGCATCCATGTATCAGCTGCTGATACTGAAAACTCATTTTCTGTTTGGGATAAAGGAAAACCTTTGGAAATCATCTGTGATCCTGTAACTTTTCTGTCTTTCTACCAAATTAGCAGATCTCCCTAGTCTTTCTTGGCTCTTGATCCCAGTTTTAGCTCAGAGAGAAGTGGATGTGAAAACCTGCTGCCCTTCACTTAAACCAGCTTCTGTGAGAGAAGCCCAGCAGGCAAGAAGGAAGCTCTTTCCACTTTGTCCATGCATCTGACTTACCAGCTCTGGTCTTTGGTGGATCAGTGTCGACTTCAGTGGAGCTGCTCTCAGCTTATATCACTGTAAATGAGAAATGGAATAGCTTTTTACATTACCTCATTAGTAAGTCTAACTTCTTTATCTGTGGTTTTGTAATGGCATCTGAAATTTCAGAGAAGAGCAAAACAAAGGAGATAAAGACAGGAAAAGGGACAAAAGACAGGGACTTTCCAGCTCCATGGACATCTCTGCTCATTAGAGTTCCTCTAGCATGTACCTTTCTTTGTGTGCCATTGATGCCTTGGAGTGGCCATGTAGAGGCTAGACAGAGTTAAGAAAATAAAGTAGGTATTTATTAAAGGCCTTCAGTAGATACACCTTGGGCAGTGCAAAAGTCTCCCAGAGGCTACACCCCAGATGGACAGCAGCCCCCAGTTTCTAAGACAGATATAAGTTCGGTCTATTTGCATATCAGAGGTTAATTTTCCAATCATAGTTCCAGGTAATGAAGTCATATTCCCTGGGTTTGCTTCCTCCCCTGATTCACTTTTGTTTATACTTTTCAGGGCCTAAGGCAGAAGGTGTCCTTGGTTCTCAGGCCTGGCAGAATTGTTTTACCTGGCAAAAATATGAAGGCTACACCCCAGATGGACAACAGCCCCCAGTTTCTAAGACAGATATAAGTTCGGTCTATTTGCATATCAGAGGTTAATTTTCCAATCATAGTTCCAGGTAATGAAGTCATATTCCCTGGGTTTGCTTCCTCCCCTGATTCGCTTTTGTTTATACTTTTCAGGGCCTAAGGCAGAAGGTGTCCTTGGTTCTCAGGCCTGGCAGAATTGTTTTACCTGGCAAAAATATGAAGGGAGCTTACTAATACTCTATATGGAATTCAGAGTTATACACTAACTCAATACAGGATCTGAAAAATATAAAACCTAAAAACTTAAGGCATCACCATCACAAGAGAAACAGTCCCCAGTTCCCAGGAGTGGCTCATTCTGTTCAGTGCTGTTGGTCTCTGTATTAATCACCTGGAATGGCAACTGATATGCTTGCTGTGCCATATTTACCTCCTTAAAGAATCCCCCAAGGGAATAGAAGAGATCATCATGACTCAGGTTTTGCAGGAGGTGGAGGTAGGTCTCACCAGAGGTGGCCCAGATATGTGACACAGCACAGCATCTCACAGAGACAGTCACCAGGGTCTGGGAGACCTACATCCCTCAACTCCTAGAAGCCAAAGCAGCATTCCCTGCTGGGGTTTTCTGCAACACTTTTCATTCAGTGATGTATGTGATTATAAAAACTGTCCCAAGAGATGGAATTGCATGGCCACATGTACCAACAGAGATGGCATCTGCTCTGGCATTAGAAAGATTTGTGGTTTAAAGCTTAACTAGGAAACATACCTCATTGTTTCAAGACAGGACTCTCATTTTAGATCTAAATATAGGTACCATATGTTCCCACACACAAGCACTGCCTTCTCTCACTGTTATTACTGCAAAAGACTGTTGCCAGAAATGGTATCTTGCAGAAGTGAGGTCAGAGAAGAATGCTGTGTGCGTGATGAAATGAATCCCACATCAAACATGCTTTCCAAGTCAACTGCATAGTCAGGCATTGGAGAGGGCTGCCTAGGGAAGCTGTGGGTTTAATTAAAAGTTGTGCAGATGTCTTTCAGGAATGGTTGCCCTGTGCTTAATATCATTTGAGACCAAAAGAATGAACTAACTGGCCTCTGCAAATCCTCCTCACTACTGTGTTTTCATGTTTTCTAACTAAATATTTATGATTCTGGATTTAGGCACCAATATTTTTAGTGGTATGGTTTTGAGAGTCTATCATCAGATGAAAGAAATCTTCATGAAAATTAGTTGGGCAGTAAACAAGGGGGGGTCTGATTCTGAATGCCTATGTGAGATGAGAAGTTTATCAAGAAAACTTAGAATATTTTGTGATGCCACCTAATATATATATATTTTTTTGTAGAGGGCAAGCCAAGAAAAGGTGTGACATATCCATCAACTCTTGAATATTCTTCTTCAAAAAGTACAGCTGTTAAATCAGGCAAGTATTTGTGACTGACTATCCCTTACATCCATTCACAACTATCTGTCATAGCTTCTCAGTTGTACAATACAAAGACATAACTGTTCAGAGGCAGAAGTTCATGCATCCATTAGCATGTAATCCAAATCACTCATGGTATTTTTTTTATCTTAAGCATATGGAAATCATCTCAGACAATTTCTATTTTTTGGTCATAACGTTTCACAGACTTCCGTTTCCAAATAATCTCCCCCTTGCTTTAGATCTGTTACTGAATGTGATGGTGTACTGGTTATATGCAAGCATTTGAGGTTATACATGTTGGTTTTCTCCTAATGTGTTACTCATGTTATCTCTTGGGATAGTCAGTGCTGAGAGTATAATATTAAATAGTAATATAATACAAATTAAAGAGACAGTAATGCACAGCAGCTTTAATAAGAATGCTACAATAAAGAAATACTCTGTATAATCATTTTAGTCAGCATCCTACTCTGTAAGACTCAACTCAGTTTAAATAATTTAGTTGTTTGAAGAGGTCTTTGATCAAGTTTCACACAGGTGGGTAGCTGACATTCAAGTGCACATGGATTACCTCTATCACTGAAATGACACTTGGATTTGCTCCCTGTTGCAGCTATGTAAGGTTCAGACTCTTCCTTGGGGATGCAAACTAAAAGAAAATTAACGTCCCATACTACAGTGCACTTCCCTTACACAGTCCTTTTGCTGATTGCTGAGCCTGAGCCTTCCTGGGCATATGCACTGTGAGCTGTGGTATAAGGAAGCATGCTGTATCTTCATGAACTTAAATGCCTGGCATTGGGTGCATTCATCCAAGACCCAGAGAGGTTACTTGGAGACCTACTCTTCTCCTGTACATTATTGTTTGGTCCTTGGAAGAAAAGTACAGGGCTCTTTTCTCACAGAAACATAGAATCATCATGGTCAGAAAAGGTCATCAAGTACAACTCAGCACTCAAGCACTCAAGTTTATCATAACCATGTCCTTAAGTGCCACATCTATGCATCTTTCAAATAGCTCCAGGGATGGTAACTTCATCACTTCCCTGGAAAGCCTGCTTCAATGCTTGACAACATTTTCTGAGTTGAAAAGATATTAGGAAAAATTCTTTCTAATATCCAGTCTAAACCTCCCTTGGAGAAACCTGAGGCCATTTCCTCTTGACTGACCCCCACTTGTGTACAACCTTCTTTCAGGTACTTGTAGAGAGCCATTAAGTCCCCTCTGAGCCTTGGGGTTTTTTTTCCAGGCTAGAACAACTGAGTTCCCTTAGCTGCTCCTCATAAGACTTGTGCTCCAGCCCCTTCACCAGCTTCAGTTTTATATTTTCATATTTATATTTTCACTTAAACAAAAGCAAATTTAAATCTCAAAGCTGTAGTTGTTCAGACCAAATATGTGTCGCTCAGTTCCATGCCTTTAATTTGTAATCCCTTTGCATTTACAATCAAATAGGCACAGATTTGTATATTTCTTGACCACATATGCAGAAAATACTTGACCCAAACATTATGCTCTACTAGAAGGGAGGGCAATACCTTAGGAATCTTGACTTTTTCTGAGAAATATTTGTTAAGTCACAGCTCATCATTCCCAACTGGAGCCACACTTGAAATATCAGCCCAAACATTTCAGAGCAGACTAGAGACAATCACAGCCAGAACTGATCTTAGCAGGCTGTAAGCAATGGCCTCTTCCACCAGTGCCAAAAGCCATGCAATATAAGAATCAGTTTGGAAATGGGGAGCATCATCAGTCAGGGTCTGTCACACAAACGAAATACCAGGAGCTTGTTCCTGCAGCAAACCAAAGGCACAAGTCTTCACTTTGTTCCTGAATCAAACAGTGTGAATAAAATGCCAGTATTCTAACAACAAAGACAGTGCATTAATGCAGAGAAAGTCCATGATTATCAGAGGAGCAGGCAGCTGTTATATCAAACCCAATGTCACCACCTGATTTTGCCCAGCCTTGTCCCTCAGGTAGCAAAGAGATCCATTGTTCACAATCTATCTTCCTCAAGCCCTGCTTGGCCCTATCAGCCCTCCTTAGATCTGCCACCTCAACTCAGCCATTTTAGCTGTTCTCTGTCAGAAACAGCTTGTGTTTAAGATAAAATTCTCTGTAATATGCAACCAGGGCCATCTTGTGAAAGAGAATTTCCTACTTACTTTTTAATATTAAAAAAAGGAACTTTTTTCTTTTAATTTTAATTACAGAGACCACACTGTTAATTTTGATACTAAATCCGTTATCTGCAGGAGGCAAAAGCCTCCGTTGAGTATTATACTCACTGCTGTCAGATTAACAAAAAATCCTGCTTCATACCTGATCAGCTGTCAGAGATGCAATTTTAGTCCTCATCCCAGAGATGCCAGAGATTCATAGTCCCTGACATTTCTTTAAATGCTCCTGGTGGATACAGCGCTTCTCAAATTCTGGGCATGGCAAGAAAAGCCTTCCCAAAATTGTAACTCTTCACAGCTGCTCAAAACTATTAAAAGATGTATAGAAAAAACAGTACTAAATTTTAGGAAAACATTAACACTGCAGTAAATTCTCAAACAGTTTGATGCTGCCAAAAGAGCCAGAGAATAATAATTAAAAAAATAATAAAAAAAGAGGAAGAAGAAAATCCTCTGATAGATAAAAAAGCAGAAGCAGATCATTTTGTGAGGTAGCAGTAAATAAACTATAATAAGTATTCCAAGTTTATTGACGTCTCTGGGTCTTAGAAATAAAAAAAGAATTAAAAAAATCTCCCTTTTCATTTTAAGCCAGTCCATGGCTTAGATTTGGCCCCATAATGATCTCAAAATGTCAGGCAAGAAAAAAATACATCTGAATATGAATTAGTGACTGTAAGACTGCACATTAGCAAGTATTTCCCAAACAATACTACGCACATCATGACACTGGTTCTCAGAACATGCTACTACACAAAGGAAAAAAACATATGATGCATTAAAACTTATGAGTATTGGCTTACTGGTGGCAAACCCCCATACTTCTCGCTCACTTCAGAAATTCTATTGATACTGGGGATGTAAAAATGCCAAAGTTCATCATGGAAGGTAGGGGGTGACCCCTCCCTAGCCATGGCTTTTTCCCAGTAGGTGATAAAGCTCTGATTGGACTGCCAAACCGACCTAATGGCATGTGACAGGATGCCTTCCTTTGGGGACTGATAATCTCTAAATGGGAGACTTGAAATTATTTTCTTTACAGAGCTGCCTTTTCTAATGTGCTCAATTTTGCTTCAGAGCCTAAAAAACCAGAGCAAGACCTAAAAGGTACGAAGAGTGCAGACACCACTAACACATCTGAAAAAGCATCAGATCAAGGTAAGGGCTGGGGATCCTGGTGCTCTTTACAGTATCCAACCCACCTAATCTGCCTGTGGGTGCTTGCAGGGAGCTTTTTGATACTGGTTACACAGACAGCTTTACCTCCTCCATCCAATCTCCTCTCCACAGCCCCCTTCCCACCAAACCCAACTGAAATAGAGCTCGAAGGGCTTCTGCTAATTCAGAGAAGAGGGCACCCACAGAGTTTCATTTCTGCATGTGCTTTGGATGAGTTCAGGTTTTGTGAACTTGAAAATCTTGCATTATGGTTCTTGGCAATCTCCTGTGCACGGCACGTGCCCTTTGAAGATGCTGTGAAAGAGAGGGGTACCCTGCCCGCAGGAGCACTGGGAACAGCTTCCTCTTGTGTTAAAGGATCCATGAGAAACCCAGCCAACATGCACCAAGGCAACAGCTTTTCTTTGCTCTTACTATGCTGCTTCCTCAGGTTTTCTACTAATGCTGTTAGCTTCCAGCTTCCTTGCTCCTCACAGACTGGGGTATAAAGCTGGCCAGTGTGCCTGCTCCCTACTCCAGCAGCACAGGATCACAGGGGAAGACTCACTGTGTCCTCTGTTTTCTTTCTGTTAGCACAGTTTCATGGAGCAGTGCACTGTTCGGCCCAAAAAGAGCCATTCATGCTGATTTTTCAGCTGAGTTGTTTTGTTTTTCTTCTGAGCCCTCTTTCAGCATTATTCCATTAAAACTGTCTGAGATTGGAGTTTTTCACTGCCTAGCATTAGGTGATAATTAATCCACCAGACAGTTTCACAACGATGCCTTCCAAGAGGAGAACATCCAGAAATAGCAGTAGAACACAAGCTTGTGTTGTGTAGCAGTGAATAGAGTGTGCACCATTCCCTTTCAATGTAAACAGTGTGTCAGGCCATCCCCAGGGCTATGGGAAGGGAGGAAAGGAACAAGACCAAGGTTAACACTGAATATATTTTAGGGCAGTTTTTTGTAGCCAGATGGAAAAGATAACAGTGAAGAACCTTTTTTAAGAAAATGACTTGGAAGAATCTAAGCTTGTTGACTATTTTTATAAGGATATTTAGGATGTATATTTTGCAACTAAAATTGTCACTGTTCTCACAACAGATGATACATTTTAAAAGTAGTAGCAACTGTGAGATGAGTCAATCTTAGATGAGATTGGCACCTTCCAGGTGGTGATCTTCCCCATTCTCCTCAGCCAAAGCCCTGATGCTCCCTATTCTGGCTCTGACCCTCTCCCCCATATCATCTTTAACTAAAAGTTGTCTTTCTGTCAAAAATATTTCAGTGCTGCAATTTCTTTCTGGTCTATGACTCAGATAGGCCATCTTTACTACCAGATGCCAGCTGATTTCCATTTATATGGGCCTTCTAAGTGCTTAATTACACTGAGAAAAGGCGATGCCAAAACAGAATCTGCAACTGGCTGGTTGAACCATTTCATAGGTCTGAGACATCTGTCATTTTGACAAATGTTCCTGGCCAAAGCCGAATAGTGTAGGGGGAACATTAATGCTGCAACAGGCTGTTGTCAGCACCCTCTGAGAGCAGAGTGTCACGGAGGCACCTGCACTACACATCCACAATGAAGGCACTAATGGCTCCACAGATAAGGGTGCTTGTAGGCATCCTGAGGAGAATGCCAGTTTCTGGGTTGCCTTAAACATTGAGTGCTGCTGCTGCCACTCCCATACATGTCCCACATCCAGCCACAGTGATGTGTCAATGTTCCTACAGGGGACACAGTCCGCAAAGAGTATCAGACAACTCCGGTGCCGACCCCAGCCACACAAATGGCCACCACAACCCCCACACCAACGGCCACGACGATGGATCCTTCCACCACAGTGCCACAGCCAACCACAACACCTGCAGCAACCAGAACCACAGCACCTCCAGCCAAGACGAGACCTGGACTGCACAGGGTCAGAGATATGGGTCAGTAGTTTGCATTGCTTTCGTCTAGACTGACAGCTCTCCTAAAATTTAAGGAACAAGCTGTAGAGCTGGATATACCATGATTTAGAGGATCATGAGTTCAATAATTCAATGTAGAAATACTAGGAGTGGAAAAAAAAATATGTAAGTCCAGCAGACCAATTCATGTGAGAGTAAGCTCTCCATCCCCAAATGCCTGTGATGATTTTCAGGTATAGAAGTCAATAAATAGTTCTTTGATTCTCACATCTAGACTGAGAGATCAACAGACAGGTGAAGACTCATTTTAGAATTAATTTTGGGATAACTTTCGATAGATTAAAGCTGTAATATATTTTTTGTAACAGCTTTTGAATTTTTAAGGAATTTGTGAATTGTGTAGGAATTCTCATCCTTTTTTTCCACACCCGATTTTCCTTATTCTTTTCTTCTTTAATTTATTATTATTCATTAGCATTGTGGGGATTTGCTTCAACAGCTGAAAACTAAAATGTCTTATTTTTAGGTTCTAGCAGTGTCCACCCAGCATATGCATCTGTGGTAGCGGCAGCAGCAAGTAAGTATGGTGAAGTAAGTAAGTATGCCACAAGGCATGCAGCACAGTGTGTTTTAGGGCAGCAATGATTCAATAAACTTTCAAGCCTCAGCAAACCCAATGACTGAATCCAAGTTTGGATTTAAATTGAAAAAACAGACGCTTGTCCTGAATGTCAAAGATGCTAATCACCCACAGTTCTGAGGAAGCGTTTCTAGTGAGTATCTGCCCATTTCAGCTGTGACAAAAGCAGGGTTTTGCAAAACTTGAGACAAAGATTTTGCTGTTTGAATCATGTTTTTCCTATTACTTCCTTGACGCACTCTTTCAAAGGGAGGCTTGATTTAGTTTTAAAATACACAATGCAGAGGGCTGCAGAGCCATCTAAGCTTAGTGCTGAAAGCTCTGAAATGCTGACATACTTAGTTAAAGCACTCTTCTCTCAAAAATCTCAGGCTGTGGTTCTGAGGCTGGCATACATGTGATGTTATTCCTGGCTTGCCACTTGTTACTGACAGCAGAATGGCGGCTGCTCAGAGCTCTGCCTCTCAGTCCAGGAGCCTTCTCCTGATCCAGCCCACAGCCTGCAATGCAAGTGTATAGAGGTGTTTTTCCATACACTGTGCAATTGCTCAGCTGTGCAGGCAAGAAAAGGAGAATATTTTCAACTGTTTGAAAGGTTCTGAGTGTGGGGATATGATTGGTTTTGAGTGAAAAGGGAGCTGGGCTATCATTAGCTTTCATGCTCCGTAGCTATTTCTGAGTGCTTTCAACTCAGCTTTCCTCTCACATTACTTCAGTCATCCCCAGAGCCAAGCAATTCACAGCCAAGAACATGGCAGGGCAAGTATCTTTTGGGTAATTCAGGTCTTGAGGGGAAGCACAATTAAGTAAAATTTAGTTGTGAGTACAGAATAAAAGCAGGGGCTGGAAGGGTTAATCATATCAAGTCAAATATTCATGTAGATATGTGCATTGCAGGATTTACAGAAGTGACCACACAATTCAAAAGGGTTTAAATTCTGTGGAAATCTGCATCATTCAGTACCTAATGTGCCTGTTAACTTGATTCTGCTTGTTGCTTTCTTTTCTATTTCCTATTCCCACAGGCTAATCACAGAAGAGGTCTTTACTGTCTTTCCTAGCAAATAGGAAACGCTGTTTGAGGTTCCCCAGTCAGGAAGAGATGTGTGTTGAAAGTAAAATTTTGGCAGCACTGAAATCAGTGGGAAGGTGGCGTTTGCTTTAATAAGATGAGTAATTTAGTAAAAAAATTTAAAACAAACTCCAAACAAAACAAACAAAAAAAAAAACCAAACAAACCCAAAAACTTCTCAATTTTTCAATTGTTTTCAGTAGCCACTTAATTGTAATTTGGATCCATATTTCTTCACAATTTTCTTTACTGAAATTCTAAGCATAAATTAATTACCAAAATATTAAAGTAATCAGAGCTAAGAACAGGTTATTGTGACCTGGAGTGGTAGAGACCCACTTCTGATTTCAGAGATTACATTTCTAGGATTATGTCCAGCATGTCAGTACCTCATACTCCTGAATTCTCCTGACCCCTTCCTGATTCTGAAAGAGAAGAGCTGGACAAATTAAAAAATACAGAAATTACAAATGCAGTTTTGATGTCATGATCATACATAAAGTCGTTTTCTCTGTCTGAGGAGCCTCTAGGACCCACTGCTATCATTCAGTGTTTCTGGTTGTTGGTATTAATCAGAATTTGGCATGACTGAACAGAATCAGATGTTCTCCTGTCCATCCTGGCTCACAGACACTCACAGATCTACCTCTCATCATGCATTGGTAGTTTGCCTGCAAAACACACCTCAAAAGTAAACAGCTATGAAACAGCACAGTCAGAATGAACACATCCTTTCCATTTCCAGCCACTGGCACTGGCAATAGTTCACAGGAGCAAAAGAAAAGCAGGACTTGCAGATTAGAGCATGAGAGCAAGGGCAAAACTGCTGCTCTAGTTCTTGCTGTTCTTTCACCTTTGTCTTCTGCTTGTCAAAGACAGAGTAACATAAAAAATAATGGAGACCCTGCTCCATTGCCAGACCCCTGCTTGAAAGACTTGATGCGTCAAAACTGCTAAATGAAAACCCTGATGTGATTACTGTGTCATATGACAGCTGGTCCCTGCCTGCCCTACTAGGGCTTCTGCCTCTGTCCAACAGCAATTGTCCCAGCACACTCCCAAGGGCCACAGGCTCACCTGCTCTCCCCCATCCCAGCTCCTCGAGCAATCCTCTCTTGCACAGCAGTTTGGACCCTAGAAGAGGCTTGGGTCTAATCCAGTGCTTCTGTGAGCACTACAATCATAAATCATGTCATGATCCTTGGTGCCATGTTGAAGCACTGTGCTGGCAGCCAAGCATCAGGCAGCAATTGCCTGGGTGTCGTCAGGTGAGGTGCTTTCCTGCCCTCTGTGTCCAGATGGGGTCAATGGCTGCATCTATTTTCAAACAGGGACTCTAAGCTGGGCACTGCCTACCATGGTACACTACACAGACTTCATTCCCAGCTGAGACTTAATAGGGCAGTAAACAGAAAAGTATTGAAAGGACATGAGACAGTGGTAGTGTAAGAGAGGGCATTGAAAGCTCTTCTTCAACAGGAAGACCAGTAGGGCTCATGCCTTCAGGAAGCACTGGACAAACATTCCATCCTGGCACCAGGGAGAACAGCTGGTGTTTATTTTTGGATGCTGCCTTTCTCCCCAAGTTATTCCTGACTACTTAACCTATCAAGGGTGCTGACCAAAGTGCACATGGCCAAGCATATTTTGTGCACAGAGTAGCTCCTTTTATTGTCAAATCAGTTCTCATTATTCACAAGGTTCACTCTAAACTGCACTTAAACTACTGTTCTCATCATTTCCTGCCTCCATGCCTCCCTGCTCACCACAGAACTTGCCAACCAAGTTCTCTGCTGCACTACTTTGATTTTTGACCCAGTTCTTGGAATTTGCCTGGGGCTGTCTATCCCCAGTCCTGTTCAGCCTCCAGCTTGCACAGAGCTCTGTCCTAATGAACACATATTCCCATGCCACAGCCTCACTGGCACCTCAGATTTGAAGGAAGAACAAGCCTTGCAACCTGGAAGTGCAATTCCAATTTTTCCTCCTCTAGCACCACCATGTTTGCCATGGCCAACAAAAGCATGGCAGGAAGCAGCTTACTGCAGGGATGGGGGTAATGTGCCTTTGGGACCTACAGCAAGAGGGAGCAGCTCTGTGGCCCAGCACAGTCAAAAGGTGCATAGAGAGAAATACACATTGCTAACATCAAATTAAAATTTAAAAGTGCCATAAAATACTTGGATACTGAGGTAATCTCTCCTTTACCCTCTTGTACTCTGTTTCCACTGACCTTGTAAAGAGTGTTAGATACATATTGGGGCTCAGTCATGGCAAACATGAGACAAGGGCAGTTCTGAGACTCAGAGTTAATTTTCTACCACCACTTTGGCACAATATTGATCTCCCGTGTGTAAAGCCTGCCCTGCACAATCCCATACAACACAGGCTGCTGCACACACAGATTTTTCCCTCTGAAATCTGAATACTCAGCCTGGTATAGCTGTGGTCCATCTGGAGCCTTACAAGCTTAGAGTTTAAAAGCCTTGCCAGTTTTGGCAGATGAGCCCATTACTTCCATAAACAGGATCTCTTTGGCATCTGGAGTTTACAAGGTCTCTCAGGACAGCTCCTAGAAATCTCATCAAATGGCTTCTAGTGGCCTGGAAGGTTCAAGTTTGGGTCAAACACAAGCTGCTTACTGTCACCTAATTTTGCAATGTCAAGCTCTCAAGGAGCAGCAATTCCTGTTTTCTGAGACAACCATTCAAAATGGTCTCATTGATGACATCTTATTGATAAAATAACCTCCTGGGCTCCTGCCAGTGTTCACAGAGTCCAGTAGAACATTCCCACTGATTTCACCAGGCTTTCAAATTAATCTTTCTGGGAAAACTAATGAATAAAGGCTTGTTAAAGGATAAGTTTGTTAACAGGCTTCTTAAGAATAATTAATGAAATGAAAGGCATGATTGAAGACATGGTTTTCATCTGCAAATGATTTGAGCCTTTAGTATCTTTGAACAATGGGAGTTTAATAACCCAATCACCTTTTAAAAAAGCCTTTGTGTAGAAGACATGTCAGACACGTGAATTCTCCCACATTATTTTTCCATTGTCTAATTACTTACAGTCTGCCTGTTTGCTCATATCCACTTAATCTCTGCAGAAAGGGTACTATCTGGTCTGGGAGGTTGTTTTGGGGTTAAAACCTTCCTCACACAACCAGGACAATTGGATGGTACTGAAATAGAGATAAACACAGATCACCAGTGTGAGTGGGAGAAAGAAAATTACAAAGGAAAGCAAATCACAGAGGTAACTGCAGATCTTTTAAATGCAGACCAGAAGTAATATCCATAACAAAAGGGAACAGATAGATCTGTATGACAGACAGAGCAAGACAATCCTTTTTTAAGCAGGCTCAAAATATATAGTTAACATCTAAGAAAGTCTATTAATGACAACTCTATATATGAACCATTAATTCTGACAGCTATAAAGTGAAGCTCAGTGAAAAAGCTAGGTAGCAGTAGTACTGAACCAAACATGGTGCAATAAATCACACTTTTCCACTTTGATGTCTACTTAGGACAGGTTCAGGCTGCACAAGGAAGAGGACAGAATACAGGTATGTTTTAATTTAACAACAACCAGTAGATATGTACTGATCAAATACTAGAAAACCTTGTGTTTAAGTTCCATGTGCTAACCAATATAATATTTTCAAAGCATTCAGGGGCACTTCCACCTCTGCAAGTAACAGGAATATTTTACGACACGATACAGGTAAAGACATTACAATCCTCCTCCATTTCCTCCCCACAGATATTTTTACCACTTACATCTACCAAGTCATGCAGTAACACACTGTTTTTCCCTCCTAAACACGTTCATAGCAGGCTGCAGTGAGAGGAGATGTCACAGCGGTCACTGTGTGACAATAGTGTAACCTCAAAGGGGTAAAAGTAAACAAGATGGATTAAACATGGAATTGTTCTCAAAACAGTAGTCTAAAATAATTTATAGAGGTCTTCTATAACATTTGCTGTTGCAAAATGAGAGGAAAACGTTGTGTCTGTGTAAGTTTGCAGGACTAAGGCCTGACCCAGTTCACAGGCCCCAAGCATGGTCAGCATCCCAGGACCCACTGCCAGTTGTTCCAGTGGTAATAGCTGCACTGTGCAGCACCTGCTAACACTTAAACTCTTTCGCCAGCCTCTTTCAGCCCTTTCCAATTAATTCATGGTTTCATATCTTCCTTTTCTGTGTGGTTTGAAAACGTGCAGAAAGACAGTGTGGGCCCACTGCATCCATTGTGATGATGCTCCTCTCTTCTTGCCCACTGGCATCTATTTAACCTCTTGCCTCTTTGTCCAATCATGCAGGTGCCCAGCGCCAAGAGCCCGTTGCCACTTTCCAGAGGGCTGCCAGCTCTCCAGTCCACCTGGGTGAGCAAGACTGCTTGCAGCAGATTTTCCACTCTCTTTAACAGTTTTAGCAACCACAAATTAGCATTTGTATTGCACATTGTTTTCCTGCATCCTGGAGGAGGATCAGGGCGAGACTCATGCACTGAACACCAACTAGGAGCTTCCTGAAAGGGAGAGGCAAAGGAAGGCTCAGTCACAGGTGACCTGCTGTTTCAGGCCATGAGAATCTACATCTACAAAGTGTTTTCAATTTTTCTTATTTGCTAGTCAAAACAGGAAACAAACAACCTGCTCTGTGAAGCCTATCAGGTCTCAGATAGAGATAGTTCCTGTGGTTCCCAGAAACCTCTAGGCTGACAGTGAAAGTAGAGGTTGCTTTTAATACTGAGGGTGAAAACATCACCTGTACTGTTCTCTCCTCCTGGAAGTGCGATTGACCCTTTCCCAGCTAGCAGCCCAGTGAGCAGGCGCCTTGCAAGGCCTACAGCACCTTCCCAGGGGCTGCAGAGCTCTCAGCACACACACCAGACACCAACTCTTCCATGATGGACAGCAGAGTTTCTCAGAGACAGATTTTGTCTGGGAGCACCCAGGGTGGGGCGCGGGATGGGAGCTGGGTTGCAGCAAGGCATGCAGGGCTGCACCGAGGCTGCAGGCCCGCCACGTCCCCACAAGAGCAGCAGAGCAGGCCCAGCAGTGGTGCCCAGGGTGACCCGACAGCCCAGGCTGCCAGGCAAGTCCCCAAAAATGAGGCAGGTCTGACCAGCTGAGGCAGGGCACCAGGTAAGGGAGGCAAGGTCTGGGTCAAGATAGTGAGGCACAAACCCAGGCCCAGGTGCAAGGAGCAAAGGTGAGGGAGGGTGTGCACCTCTGTGCTGTCTGTCTGTCCCATGGATGCTTCCCACAGCCCTGGCCGAGGCTGCCCTGTGCTAGTGCTGGCCTCTGGCATGGGCAGCCAAACCCACTGGGGAGGGAGAAACTGCAGCCCCTGAGGGCTTTGGTGAGAACTGGGAATCACAGGAGGAGTATTATGGCAGGGTTTCCTGCCAAGTGGTCATTCACACTGAGGTTGGAGGATGTTATTAAGCAGGATATGTTATTATCTTTCCAGATAATTCCAGCCAAGTAATCTCACCCAGTAGTCTCCTGGTCAAAATGATAATTTGTAGTTGACCTAGTTGAAGCATATTTAAAATGCACTTGTTCTAAGATGTACTCCATTCCCTCGCTTTTCTACTCCTCCTCATTTCAATCTCCTCTTCTTTCTGTTTTCTGTCTTTTTCATACACTGGCTAATTCTCAGGCTAGCCAAATCTTTGTCAGAAAAACAGGAGAATACTGCTGAGTCTTACTTAAATCAAAGTCAGTATTTCACCCCACCTAATTGCTTAAGGCACCTTAAGGTCACCCTAAAGTGATTAAAAGGCGCAAATTTTCCATCATAAACTATTCTGCTTTCTTTACCACAGAACAAGAAGGAAAAGAAATACAAACACATATTTGCTGTATTCCCAGTAAGTCCTGATCCTTTTTTCAGTCCAGAATGTGGCAGCTCAGATGTGTTGCTTTCTAGCAGCAAACATTTCTAACAATCAAAGGAAAATTTCTGAACAAGTCCTTGCTTTCTTGGAAAGGCAGGTTGTTCTTTTTGGTGCCACCAAGAGCGTGCAAACAGCAGCGATCAGTTCTGAGAGTTTGGCCATGATGTCAAGAACTTCCTCTCATCAGCTCAGGTTGCCAGAAAAGTGTACTAGGAAAATGCCTTCCCCAACACACCAGTTACTTGTGCAATGCACATTAACTCCCTTGAAATCCCATACTCAGTCTTGCATTTTCAAGAATGTTTTCAAGGCAATTATAGTGAATAATTTTGGTGGTGGTGTCTTTCTTTTTTTTAAAGAGACCAGTCTTGGAGTATTTTAAAAATTCATCCCTTTTTTTAATGGGCATCTTCAAGTGAGAAAAAAAAAGCCCTAGTTATAAAAATAATCATATCACTTTCAGATATGCATTTCATGGACAGTTTTCTTCATTATGTGTCTAGGAAAATATGCAAGAAATAGAGCTTTTTCCTGGATAAACAGGTCACTAAAAAAGCTGTATATTTTGCATATTTGCAGCCAGCTACCCCAAATTCTTGGTACTTATCTTATGTTCTTGGTACTTATCTTTTTCATTAGAATAGCAAGCTGCCACAGAAAGTTCTAAATGGGTAAACTGAGAAGACTGATTGATGAAACATCAGACAGCTCCTACCCACAGGGATTTGGACAGACTAGAGTACCTGTGGACATCTGAGCTGAAGAAGTTGCTAGTTGTTAATTTAGAAAAACCTCACCATTTCTCCCAATGATAAAACCCAGTCTTTTTCAGCATCTGCCTGTCTTTTGTATACAGTCAGAGATGTTAAAGAAGCCTGGTTTCTAAGGATGCTCCCTGACAATGAGGTGGCAGCAGAAACAAACCTGTGACACATGAGATGGGCACATTCCATTGCTCTGATCCTTCAGCTCACATCCCTACACATGAAGAAGAGAAAAGAGGGCAAATCTTTGTGCAGCTCCTCAGCTGGTTCCACTTGCCATACAGTTCCTACTGCTTTAAACAGGCTTGCCACTGCAACTCACAGAGCACTATATTTGTATAGAGGACTTGAGAAGTGCAGGGTCTTCATAACTTGCTCTTTGTCTGTTTTTATTTCTGAGCTGGTCAGAATGAAAAGCAGCCTCATATGAATCTTCCTTTCTCACAGGGTGCCTGGGAGGGGGAAGCACACCTTTGGAGATTATCTATTCACAAACTGGTTTCACTGAAATTTGTTCTTCTCAGTGACAGCATTCAGGAGACATGTTGTCCACTTTGATAACAAATGAGCGTCAGCTCTTCTCTGTGGGCAGGGTCTCCCTGCTTTGCAACCATCACCCTCAGCACCTGTTGGTGCTGTTTGCTTATGACTCTGCTGAAGCATGCATAAAACTGGCAAACAACACTGCCAGAATATAGGAATATTCCTCCTGGTTTTTCTCTTGTTTCTTTACCATTTATCCAGGCCTGCCCTTCCTTTACCCGATTTCTCCTCCTAAGCAAAATCACAAAAATCTTCTGTGTGCTTCATGACTGACTTAGACCTTCATTGTCCTCAGTTTTTAGATCCTTCATAGGGTGCTTAAGTAGTGCTCAGCATAAGGAGGGAAATCACCCTAGCAATGAAACGTGACAAGGTTCCTCCTACCCTAAGGGAGACCACACACCTTATTCAGCCATCAGACTCATCCAACAAGTCTCCCTCCCAAAGAGAAGCTGACAGCTCCTCATGGGAAAGGCAATCTAAGGACAAGGTCAGTGCTCTCTAGGCTGGAGGACACTGGCAAGCCCATGCACAACTTTGCTGAAGCCTGTATTGTATTCACCTACTGGCTCTAGTCAAGAGCACACCAGCTCTGGGCAGCTTCTTGGGTCTTCAATAGAGTTAAATCTTTTCTTCCTGGGATTCCCAGGAACTGTTTCTGTCCTAGTCAGATGCAAGGACATTCATCTGGCTGCAACCCAGAGCAAAACATCACTTTTGGGAGCATCTTTCAGCAGGTTCCAAAACTGAAGACATTTTAGGGTTTATTCATAAGGGCAGCAATTTTGATGAAGTTATCTATGCCTAATAAGTGGCAAGCAATGTTTAGACAATTTCTTTTTGTTTTGGTGGGCTGAGGGGATAGAGAAATCTGTAGGTGAGAGGTCCTCACAGATTTTCAGTGAAAAACAACTTAAACAACAACAACAAAAAAAATACTGTGGTCTGTGCCTCAGTATCAATGCAATGTAGAGGAGCAAAACCAAAACAGATCTATTGAGTTATATTTAAAACTTTAAAAAGGTTAGTGCTCTGAGGGCAGTGATAAAAGGCTCCTATTTATGGCTTGAAATGTGCACGTAAAACTTCCCATGTTTACTGATTTACTCAGCTCCTAAGTTGTTCATTTAAGTTATTGTCTGAACTGACCTCTCTACAACGAGTCAGAACTGTGTAACCCCTAGTAATTGCACTACTATCAGTAAAAGTTGTCCTTTTTTCTCTCTTTTTCATGTGTGAAAGCAATGGAAATAGACTCATGGAAACCTGGACTGAGCCTCTTTGACACAGGTAAATATTTAAAGCCTGTAGTAACTAGTCTGGGAATAAGTGGTTTCCATCACACACAGGTAAAGCTAAATCTATTTATTCATCAAGCCCACAACACTGGTGATAACAATCTCATTTTAAGTAGTAATTACAGCATTTAAAATTGTAAATAAGGTATGTTGTTTACATTTTAGCAGATTATTCTGTACTTTCATCACTCTTGAGTTCCTGCTTAAAGCAGGAGCAGAAGAGAGGAGCTCTGGAAAGAGTTGGCAACTACACTACAGGAAAGGGATTCTCACTACTGAAATCCACTTGTAAATGAGAAGGTATTTTGGGAAAGCCACAGCTGAGATTACAGTTTAGAGCTGCAATCAGTGAAGAACATGACAGATTATCCTGATGTCAATGTACTTAGGGAAGACATTCAGATAAGAAAAGGAGGGTTTGTGTCAAACGTAAAGAATAATGAACATTGTTGAAATTTTCTGACATTTTATCCTTAAAAACTGACAATATGGAGATAAGAATATTTTATGAGTAGAAGAGAAAAACCCCTACATTTGTAACAGGCCTTAGTAGCAACAAGACCAAGACTTGGGCAACCTTTAATAATATTTTATGAGTAGAAGGGAAAAAACCCTACATTTGTAACAGGCCTTAATAGCAACAAGACCAAGACTTGGGCAACCTTTAATCAGGAGCAGCTGCCAACTGCAGATTTAACAGCTCCCTTTCCTCAGGAGCGTTAAAGGCAGACTGCACAAGACACAGACCAATTCATGACGTGGCACTCTCCTTCTTACAATCCAACACAAGAGGTCTTTCCCACCACAGGTTGTGATGCTGGAGAGGGCTGTGCTGGTGGCCCTTGTAAAGGCCATTCCCTTGAATATTCTTCTTACTTCAAAGCCATTAGTGTGCTTATTCAGAAAAAGCTACAACACGAGGGCCAGGGTGCAGAGGGATATTTTGAGGCAGAAAATGACAGATTGCATTAAATGCAATGAAAGGTTGGGCATGGGGGAAGGGATGCTGTATTAATAGTTTCTCAGCAACTGAAGTGCCAGCACAGACTAGTGTGATAAAGTCTGATGAATTCAGATTGTCACTTCAAAGGAGTGGTTTCTGGCGTGGATGTAATCACTGCTGTCTTACTTAAATGAATGGGAGGTTTAATCAGTATGGACAGCTGTGACAATCAGTGAAGGGAACATTAATTAGCATGGTGTAGACTGCCCATACAGCGAGTTGAAATTCCCATGGCAGTACCAACAATAAATTGGACTGGCAAAACAGGAAGACCCATAGAAACTGACCACCTCCCCAATTAATTGGGCAAGAGTATTTGGTGGGTGACCTTATTGTTCCACTAAGCACAGATCAGCCAGCTGACCCACAACCTTCAAGAACTGATAAGAAATACACTGGCAAATAAAAATGAAAAATGCTGCACTGCCTACACTTGAGTTTTCCATGCTGACAAAGCTAATGTCAGCTGTATGCCTGGGAAAAGAATATGGATTTTACAGGATGTAGATAAAGGCATGAGGCAAATAGTTATCTGTGAAATATCCTTCATATACAATTTAGTTGCTAAAATGGATGGCACATGTTCATTTCTAATTTCACTACAGTATTAAATCCACCTACTTTCTGTTCTGCAAATAAGACAAGGTGGGGGGAAAGGCACATATGGGATACCAAGCTGGCACATGTGAGATATGCAGTGTGCAGGCTGCAGGATGAAGCGTGGCTTTGGTCTGTTGCTGAGGAACCATTATGTGCCTCTGTAATTAAAACCTGTACTGGAATATACACAGTCAGGAAGGCAGGCTGATGACTATTTCAGGTTAAAAAAAAAAAAACAAAAAACAAAAAACCTAATCATTTTCATCCATGTGGTTGACGAAGAGAGGCTGTGCATGGCCAAGTCATATCGCATTTAGCTTCCACATCAGATAAACTAACCATAAACTTGCACAAGACTTGCCTTCCTTCAAAGGCAGGTTTGGTTCATGTCAGCAAGACCTTCAGGCCTGAGAGAGGTCAGAAATGTTATTTCCTGCAGATACCACTGGATGGAACTGTTTGGTGTCACCCCTGTTCCATATAATTTTTCCTCAGTCAGGAACAGGCGGCCATCCTCAGGAAGTGCTCCTCCAGCACTTTACCTCTCCCTGCTGGTGTTTCCCTCATCCAAATGGACTCCCATGAGCCAATACACAACACCAGGTGCACTCTTCCCTGTTCCCTGCCTGGGAGCCCATCCCCAGTGTGCAAGACAAGACGCATAAGCCAGCAGAGTGCTGGACAACAGCTCCAGCTATAAGAGATGAAGCTGGCTGGGGCTTGGCTTGGCAGCCTGCTTTTGAATGCATTCAGCCTGCTCTGGCACAAGAGGACCAGCTTCACTAACTGTGGGAGAGGCTTTTCTGTCACAAGAACCAGTGCCAGGATGGGTGGAGAGCTCCTATTCCCAGTCCAGAAAGTATCCTGTCCAAAGTTTGGCCAGGAGCACAGGGACCACATACACAGTGGAGGCGCCACATACACAGTGACAAAAAGCAGCACCAGCCTTTGGGGTCTCCTAACCTGGCCAGAATAGCAGGGAAATTCTCAAACAAAGCACACAAAGCAATCACCAACTCTTGCTGTAAACAAAGTAGGGCAACTCTTTGTGCTCTTTGCCTGCTTCACTCACAGACAGCCCCGTGGGCTCCCATGCAAGGCTAAGCCCAGTGCTCCAGCTAGCTCCATATCCTGGCTCTAGCAACAGGCAACAGCAGATGCCTGGGGACAAGCAAAGCAGAGGGAAATCACTGCTTTGGTGCTGCTGTTAGCAGCTCTGTTTGGTCCCTGCAGTAGAAACTTTCTGCACTGGCAGCTGAATTTCAAACTGAGAAGCCAAAGCATTCCTGTCTGGTACAGATGCTACCACAGGGATCAGGTACCAATCAGGTCAGCTTTACACCAGGTCCTGCAAACTCAGACTTAATACAAACATGGCCCCTGACCCAAAACTATGTGCAGCTTTCAGCATGCAGCTAGAAGGACTCAAAAATATTGCATTTGACAATTATGAGAGGTAAAATTTTAGACTTAACTGGAAAATAAATAGGAGTGGTTACAGAGGGAGATGGAGCCTGGTACTTCCCTTCATTTTCTTCACAGTATTCTGCCTTATTATGGCTTGGTCCTTAATACCTTCAGCAACCAGCTTTGGCTGTTACATCTCCTATCATATTTAAGTGGTGACCTTCCCTGATGTCCCTTTACATACACTGATGCTCTCATGCTTGGCATGCTCATGGCTGGCTGCTGTGGAGAGACAAAGTCTGTGGTACCTAGTAATTTCTCATACTTTTCTTTATAAAGCTCACACATTCTAAAATTATCTTTTCACTGTGTCTCTGAAGTCAGTAATTTTTCCTTAACTTACTTGGTGATGAAGATTTTAAGGAAATCTTCTTCCTACTTTTCTTTAAAAATCTAACGCACAGTTTACAAAAATAATAAGCTTTTTTCCATTCTTTAGACCAACAGCTTTCCTGGTGAGTCTTCATTTTGTAGCTTGTCTGATCATTGCTGTCCCTTCTGAGGATTATCCCAGATAAATTCCCTTAATCTTGTCATGCTGTACTGAAAACACACAGCTCTTTCTCTTTGCTTGGAAGGGAGATGCTGGACTGTAGGAGAGTCTTGACAGACATTTAAGTCATGAGTGAAGTTCAGCATTTTTAGACCTTCTGACAGGAGCCTGATGGTGTCCTGTGAGTCAGTACCTTTCACAAGGACATAAACTCATCTTTTCAAGTCTGCTACCACCCAAATACTTCACAAGAATCCAGTAGTGACCCGTGAGACTTTCCTGTGACTTAACCATAGCTCTCTGTTGCCCTGTTTCTTTTGTGCTTTGTGAAATAACCCAGACTTCTGGGGGCATCTGAGGAGCTGTGGCTTGCGTTGCTTCCCCAGCACAGCTGCCTGTGCTTTCCCCTCCAGACAGAAAACAACATGATAAATCTGCTGCTTATCCACTTCAGACATTGTGCAGCTCATTTTAAGGCACAGTGAGCCAGTGGGGTGGCAGTGCTGGTTTTCAGAAGAAGATTGCTGGGAGTCCATCTCACACCATAGACACCAGCCTTGGCTCCTGAGGAGCTCACTACTTGTGCATGATGCTCCTAAGCCCTGGCACTTAGGGAACTGACTCCCAAAGGGGAACACCTCAAAGCAGGTGCCAGGAGAGATTTTGGTGGCGTCCCTAGAAATGTCTCTGCTCTTGTTTTACCCCAGGAGTGACGTAGATGAAAAAAGGTAAGCTCCAAAGATGTCCTCCCCATCCCTGTTTCCCTCCCACATCAATCCTCAGGCCAGGGGGTCTCTGCAGTGACCCTGTTCCCCATTTCCTAAAAGAGCAAAGGCAGCCACCAAGCACACACTGATAGATCCTTTCCTTTCTCTATTTAGGCTTCAGTTCAAAGGAAGAATTGAATCCAAAACCGCTGGAATCCATCTCCCAGGGGAATCAGAGTATGTACTTCAGAATTAACTTCATAATTAAGCAACATTATTAATAACATATTGCTAGAATGCATTCAAATTAAATGGCAAAAGGTAAGTTTTCAATAAAGCCTAAGAAAATCCAGGAGCACATTTTTCCCTTGCAGAGAAAAAGTGAGCACTCTCTGCTGACCCCTCTCATACACAGAATTATTGGTTTTTGCTTCTACAGGGAAGGAAATAACAGCCAAAATTTAGCTTACCTGGGTAGTGAGATGGTGGCTGTTCCCTACCACCTCTTCCCAGGCAGTATCAGCTCCAGGCTCCCAGCAGAGCTTCTTCACTCAGGTACTTTGGTGGCAGAGGACAGCAATCCAGTGTGCTGCAGAGCAGGCTCCCATGGCTATGCTGTATGCAGGCACCCTTCCCACAGCAGTGGGTGGGAGGGAAGGGACATCCTGAGAAAGGGACCCAACGCCTGCACAGCCAGCAGGGAGAAGATGGAGAGGGATCATCAGGAACCACCCAAGTTCAGAGAAAAAAATGCAGGTTCCCCTACTCTGCAATCTTCTACAGCCCTTTATAAAGGCAGATTTATCCATTAAGCCATCTTTAGTTGAGGCCCAAAGTAGCAAAAGAAAGAGAAAGCAAGTTCTTAGTGGAGAGATGGGGTCGCCTGCCACCCCTTCATTAGAAGCCACCCCAAAGAGAGGGTTCACCCTTCCAACAGTGCCTGGGTCCTCTCTTGCCCATCATTGGGCAGCTGAACACTGTCTGGACTCTTTACAGTAACTACAGAACCAAATGTCTATGTATTCCCAAGCATTCCTCTTAATATTTAAAGAATACTTTTCCCTATCAAAGATGTCAAATATATCTGAAACTGATACAGAAATAAGGGAAAGAAGGAGAAAAAGGGAAGGCTTTGCCCTACAAACCCCACTGCACTGCAGAAAAGCAGAGCTTGGTGCAGTGGAGATGCCAGCAAGGACAGCTGTGTTTCCAGCAGTTAAACGGAAATAAGTCACACCAGAAACAAAATTTTCATTCCATTGATAACTCTAGGACCAAAGAAGTCCTATTTAAGACCTTACCTCCCTGCAAATCAGAAAGTGCTCACCTTCCTATGAAGCACCTTAGCCTGTGCTCTTGCAGTGTCCCTCTCATGTTCCAGCACTGAATCAGAATCCTCCAAGAAACCAAGTCTGTCTATGAGTGTATGTAAATCTTTGCCTCCCCAGACCCTGCTGGCTAACAAACTGCCCACTTTCCACACATAGATCTCATGAACTAGTTTCCTTTGAAGGACAAGAAATTCAGGAAAACTTGGCTGTTAATTGAGGTATTTGTTGTGGGTTCCCGACCTTGCCTCACGATCTGCTGTGAGAGGACACGGTTCTCAGTCACGCTCCTGTAATTCAGCATTATTAGAATTAGAAAAAAGAGACAGCTATGGGAGAAAAAATTGAAGGTAATGAGATGGGAGGCAGTTGCATAAGCCACTAAGAACAATTGGTGCTTTGTAGCCTTCAGGCTACCTAATGATTAAAACACAGTAGTTTGAACAGTCTGATTGGTAGGAGGCATCATCAGAGGGAAATCAAGAGATGGGGTTGACCCAGATGCTGGAGGGGGAAAATGTTAATTAGCGCTCTAGTTAAGCCAAATTTTGATCCCACTCTCGGTTGCAGACCAAAGTTGAACGCTTCACCACTAACTTGCAGAAAGCAGGTTGGCAGAGATGAAGACAGCATTTGCAGCTCAAAGATAAGGGTTCATCTGTGTCATTAAAGGGAAGAGTTAGTTTGGGTACAGGCATACCTTTTATAGAACATTGCTTTCAGCCCAGAGAGGAAACACACAACAGCACACTGCTGCTGCACACGGGTACAAGACTACAACATGTGAAAGAACAGCCCCCATTCAGTCTGAACATCCCAAGCAAAATCATCATCCTTGATGTTAGCTCCAGCCCAGAAGGAAACTGATGAACAACTTTCATTCAGAAGTGCAGAGCTGCCAGGATTGTTGTCAGTAATCCTGGATTGCAATCATCTTGAAGAGACCCCACAGTGTGCTTCCCCTGAGGCACCTCCCAGGCATCACACATTTCAGGAACTTCCCAACCTTCTGAGCAACATTAACACAGTAAGCGTTCCTGTTGTGTCTATTACAGCAATTAAGTCCACAAGAGTGTCACCAAGGGAATTCCCTTAGTTTGTGCTTTGCAGATGGCCAGACCACAAAATCCAAGCACCATGGCTGGTTTTACAAACTCCCATCACCTCTGGGCTGCAAATAAAGCATGATGAGCCCAAGACACGGCTCTGAGGGTGCAGGATATAAAGTCAGCTTGATCCCGTGTGGCTGACTTGCCTGGCCCTCAAAATGCAGTGCTCCCAGACTGACCCCTGTGAAAAGATTCTTGCCCTTTTCTCATACAGCCAAGCTTAGATGTTGTATGGGACAAAGTCATGCCAAGAACTGTGTTTACTAACCAGTAGGACAGAGTTGAGCTGCCAACTGTGACTTGTCCTTGTCAAAGGCTTTTTTGTAGAGTTTACACAGCAGGACAAGTCACTGGATGCAGACTTTTTAGGCTTTTGCTGCTTGCAAGAAGCACAGCAATCAGAAAGGACTAAAAATATCTTCCGTGTTTCCTTATCTCTCCTCAGATTGCAAGGTTGATTTGTGCTTCTTAATGGATGGGAGCTGGAGCATTGGCAAGCGCCGCTTTCAGCTCCAGAAGCGGTTCCTTGGTAACATGGCGCAAGCCCTTGGCATCGGCAGCGCTGGGCCTCTGATGGGCATTGTTCAGTATGGGTAAGAGTTTCCCAGACATTCCATTGCCACAGGACATGACTGCACACTCTGGCAGCTGTAGCTCTAAGCTGATGCGTGCTAAAGGCCTCACTCCAGCTTGCACTGAGGAGCCAGGCAGCACAGACCAGCCCTACAGCTTTTGTGTTGTATGTGAAGCAAAACTGACATTTGCTCTAATTTCTCCTTTTAGTGATGACCCTTCCACAGAATTTAACTTAAAAACTTATGCCAACTCCAAGGATCTACGGAATGCCATTGACAAAATTCAACAGAAAGGAGGACTTTCCAATGTTGGTAGGTGATGGGGCTGTTTGCACATCCTCCACTCAGGGAGAGCTTTAGAGCCTGAGTTATAGCAAGCCCAGACCTCCTCAGAGGATACAGAGGCTGGGACCAAACAGTGCTTAGTTCTAGGGCCAGGCTGGTGAGGGAGCACTGCTCCCACCATGACCTGCATGTGTTGATCCCAGGCCCTGCAAATCCATCACAAGTTGACAGAACATACAGGCAGTTCCCATTCAATGCTTTGGGGATCCTTGATAACCCGGCTCATCACCACCATAATCTCTGGGGCATAGGGAGGGGGTTCAGTGCAGGAGGACTCAGGAAGCACTGGCACCAGTAGCAGTGATCTCCCTTCCTGCTCACACAGCCACAGGAACTGCTTTCCCCAGGTCTCTGCAGCCTCCAACACTTGAGTCAACTCTCTACCTACTATTTCAGGGGATATTATCAGAGTGCTCCCAGATCTGTGACTCCTCATCAACTCCTCTTCTATTACAGGGAAGGCACTTTCATTTGTTAACAAAAACTTCTTTCTGGATGCTAATGGAAACCGAGGTGGAGCACCCAATGTGGTTGTAGTGATGGTGGATGGGTGGCCGACCGACCGAGTGGAAGAGGCCTCCAGGCTGGCCAGAGAATCAGGGATCAACATTTTCTTTGTCACTGTTGAAGCAGCTGCTCAAAGTGAAAAGCAGAATGTTATTGAACCAAACTTTGTGGACAAGGTAACTTGTGGGCTGAGTCTGACCAGGACTGAGTGTGAGCATTTGACCAGACTGAGTCTGACTAAACTTTTCAACCTACTTCAGGACATTTCCTTTTCCTTCTTACCACTTATGGTTATTCCTTTTCCTTCTTGTACATACTGTCTTTAGTTTTTCTGTACAAAAACTGGGCAGTAATGCTGAGGTCAGAAAGGGGATGAAGTCAGTAAAATTCTGGTTTGAGGTACATCATCAAACAAATGGCTTTTGACCGACTAAACCTTCGCACACACCTGCAGTTGTACTGAGACAAGCAGCTTTCCAAACACAGAGTATTTGGAAAATGACAAAGTACAATTGCAGCTTGAGCAATTTGGAATTGTTTTTTCCACAAACCTCCTGCTGTGCATCTCCCACTAGGGAAAGGGTGAGGAGCCCTGTCAACCTAATGTCAATGTTGCATTTACAAACGGGTCCCACACTAGCAAAGGTTGGCACAGTCCCAACACATGCACATCCTAGTTTTTCAGCTATATTGGATAACTGAAGCATTTTCTTTTTACTGTTGATGAAGGCTATTTTTCAGTTATTTGTTTCTGCTTCTATGGACTTCATGGTAGCTCTTGGAAAAATGGTAAATCCCTGCCATATGCAGAAAAAAAAGAGAATGCAAGCTTTGATTGATTTGTATTTGGCACCAACACTAGCTGTGTAATAATAGTGCTTCAGAACAGGCTGGTACTCTGCTAGGGCAGGACACACCTACCAATGGCAGACCACACTGGGCCTAGGAAACATGGTTGAGTTACCTGGTATTTTCAGAAAACAGATTCCCATCTGAGCTGGGTTGTTCTGCCATGAAAATAATCTCCCACGAGCTTCAGAGCCACTCCAAAGAGTTGCACTGTCTCTGGTCAGCATATAATTGGATTGTAGTCTCATTTGCACGTAATGTTTTTAAAAGAACAAAGCCACAGTGAGTCTCTGCAAACCTGCCAGGGACACAGCAGAAGTGAGAGTAGAGTGGGCTCAGAACAGCAAGGTAAGGAGGGAATGGTGGCTTGATACTGCTGCATCATAACACAAAAATAGAAGTGAGACAGTAAGAAGAGCAAATGAGAGCAGGACACCATGAGGAGCCCAGACTGGAGGCAACTGTAACTTCCTTGGAGCTGTTAGGCTTTATGCAAGTGAAGATCAGTGCCTTGGTCTTTTAAAACACTCAGATACACACCATCACAAAGCTGACAGATAAAGCCTGGCTTAACAAAATATTCTCACCCAGAGAACTGAGGAATTGGCCTTTAAGAAGCACTAAAGCCAAAGACAATTTGATCCAGCCTGTTTGCACCACTCCCCTCCTTGCCCCACCCTTCCCCTCCTCCACCCCTTGACTTTTCCCATGTCCTCTTCTGTGCCAGCCCTACTTCCTACCCACACTCACCTGACTCCCACTAACCCTATAGAAGCCTCCCACGGATCTGGCCTTATGAGTATTTACTTATAAAGGTTAATGGGTTTGGCTTTAGTTTTTTTACTATTTCACAGAGCCAACACAATGAGCCTGGTTTTTCTCTGCTTAGAAAGGTATGAACCAAGTTATCCTCAGCTTAAGCCCCAGGTTTCACTTCAAAGTAGTAGGGTTTGTCAGCAGGCAAAACTTTCGTTTTTGTCCTGAATGATGGGAGCTGAAGTTGCTACCTGGTAAAGACACAGGCTCCTGTAATGTCCATGGGAGGCACGCTAAGAGGAGTTCTGTGATTTGGATGCTTTCCCCACAAACAATGTGACTCACATAAAAAAGCCTGACAGGTGGAAAACTTGCTTATTACAGTTTTTTCACTACTATAATATCAGCTCCATCCCACAGTTTAAAAAAAAAAAGGCAGAAAAAACTGTCATATTACACAAGTATCTGTGATGTTACGCTGACATCATTTCCCAGGGAAGCAGATGGTGACTGCAGGAGAGGCCATTTCAGACTCCAGCATTGCTCTTTCCAGGAGCCTATATTTACCATTCAGCTACATACCCTAGCAGGAGCAGGCAGACTGAATTTCCATTGCATTTATCCTCGTGTTGCCTCGCAGGCAGTGTGCAGGACAAGTGGTTTCTACTCCATCAACGTGCCCAGCTGGTTCAGCCTGCACAAGGTGGTGCAGCCCCTGGTGAAGCGCGTGTGCGACACGGACCGGCTGGCTTGCAGCAAGACGTGCCTCAACGCCGCCGACATCGGCTTCGTCATCGACGGCTCCAGCAGCGTCGGCACCGGCAACTTCCGCACGGTTCTCCAGTTTGTGGCCAACATCAGCAAGGAGTTCGAGATTTCGGACACCGACACGCGCATTGGAGCTGTGCAGTACACCTACGAGCAGAGGCTGGAGTTCAGCTTTGACAAGTACAGCACGAAGCAGGACGTGCTGAACGCCATCAAAAGGATCAGTTACTGGAGTGGGGGCACCAGCACGGGAGCAGCCATCAGCTACGCCTCAGAGCAGCTGTTCAGCAAGTCCAAACCCAACAAGAGGAAGATCATGATTCTCATCACAGATGGCAGGTCTTACGATGATGTCAGCGTGCCAGCCATGGCAGCTCACCAAAATGGTAAGGTCTTCTACCACTGCCTGCTCTCCCCTCACGCCTCAGCACTTATCCAGCTCACATAAATGCAGTTTGCTATAATTTGAAGGCACTGGGTGAAACTTTATGAAGGAAGAGTAGTACTTTTCTCTGGGTTCCCATTGAGCTCCAGCAAGATCAGCATATGTTTAATAGCTGAATAAGGAACTTCAGGAAAAAAACCCCAAACTTATAAATAATCACAAATGCAGCAATGTCTAGGAGATCTCAAACTACATTTGCAGTATTGGTCTTAATTAGATCTACCGCAGTGAAAATTTTCATGCTTTTCCTAAACTTTGGGTTTCTTTCCAGGAGTCATCGCTTACTCTGTTGGAGTTGCTTGGGCAGCCCCAGATGAACTGGAAGCCATTGCATCAGACCCTGCTAAGGAGCATTCCTTCTTTGTGGATGAATTTGACAACCTCTACCGCTATGTTAATCAGCTCATCCAAAACATTTGCACAGAGTTTAACTCCCAGCCACGGAACTGATGGACTCAAGCAAGGCAGGACCCTTGGGTGCTGTGCTAAAGGCATGACAAGTGCCACAGAAACAATGCCAGTCCTCAGTTCAGAAACACTGGAGATGTTTCCCTCTGGCACTTTTCAGTCAGCAAGGTTGATTGCAGCTCTGTCCCTATGCATGATAATGCTCTGCGTAGACTGTTGATTTTTTTTTTTTCATTGTGGGCGGTGTTTCCCTCTGGCACTTTCCAGTCAGCAAGGTTGATTGCAGCTCTGTCTCTGTGCCTATGCATGATAATGCTCTGCGTAGACTGTTGATTTTTTTTTTTTCATTGTGGGCGTCAGAAACTGATTTAGATGGATAGCAGAAGAGGCAGTAAACATGGTGGAAATAATTGCAGCTGTTTTGAAGAGTTACTTCCAGCACAGAGCCCCAGCTTGCCCAATTCTCACCTTTGGACACACACAAGTTCCTTAACACATGCCACTTGTTCCCTGAAGTGACCTCCCAGGTCCCTTCAGGGAGTGGCCAAGCTGCTGAGCTGCTGTGGTAGAAACACCTCATGTGGCACATGACACACAGATCAGGGCTCAAATACCAGACAGAGGGGGAGCACAGTTTGAGTACCCTAAAAGCAGGTACTCTCTCCAACTGCTGTCTTGTCAGTAAATTAAGCTTCAGCTAGTGTCAACTCAAACACTGGGATTTATCCAAACCCTGAGTACCTGGAAAGCAAGAGAGAGGAAAGGTTCAAACCCCAGGACCTTACAACTCTGCCTCCTTTACAATCCTACAACTCCAATAAAGTCTCAAATCCACAAGGCAGCCAACACGCAGGAACTGGAATCTAGTCTCCCACAACACTGCATTAATTACTTGATCTTGAGAAGTGTCTTTCCCCCTCAGCTTCATCCTTCACTCTCGGATGGTTCAAGGCCTGCAGGACCACAGGAGTGTTGCCAGGACACAGGAGACACTTTGAGAAAAACTGTGGGTTTATGCTGCTCACAATCACTAAAGCATTTAAGACCCCATCACTGTCATTAAATCAACACTCAGAAGTGCAGTCTCTAAGTGTCAGGAGAGCTATTCAAGAGCCATTAACGGGATTTAAGAGGAAATTATCTGAAGTTCTATATTATACACTGGGAAAAGCAGAATTTCAAGCATTTACAGATACTCTCCCTCAAATTTAGAACTGGCTTTTCTTTTAGGGACTGATTTCAAAATGTACCTATTACAGCCCTGGATCTGTCAGAACACACAATGGTTTAAGTGGAGAACCACCCATGTCACTAGTCAGTGCAGGAGGAGGGGCCAAAATAACTGCACTCTATTTAGGAAGTAGCAGTTGCTGGTTATGTTCCATCCAGTATCATTAAACAAAATACATTTATTAAGCAAAGTTATCAAAGGAGCCAATAAAAACAATGAGTGCTCACACTCCTTACAGCAATCAAAGCCATGCTGTGCCAGGCTTGTGAAACTAACAGGAAATGGAAAGAAATTAAAACTCAGATTTGCCATATTACTTGCAAATCAGGCTCTTAACAGCATTTATAGTTTTAATAACCATGAGCCAAGATATTTATTAGCCACATAAATTCTAACTGAATTGCCATAAGGGAAACTCATCAGCAAAAACAGCACAATTTTTTTAATCATTATGTCTGGAAATATGACTGAAGTAGCTTATAACCTGTCAACTAAGTAAGCATAACACAAATTAATGAAAACAGCAGATTCTGCATGATCCCCCTGGTGGGATAACATAAGCCAGGCTGGGGTCCTCTCAAGAGGTTATCAAAACCAATTTTGGATGAAACAGTGGTTTTACACAGTGAAAGTTTATCACTTCCCCTTAGAAGAAACGTTAAGTTCCAGCACTGAGTATCATCAATTCAACCATTCTACCCAGACTGAAAGCACAGGACACTGTCAGCATCCACAAATATATTTGTATGCAGAGTTTATACCACTAATCTCTGCTGCTGCACTTCACAGCAATAGCTTTTGGCTTGAAAAAAAATGATTAAGGATAGAGAGTTAGGCATGAGGTATGAGCAGAGCAACTCCTGATATCCCCCATCTCCTGACCCAGCTCCTCACTGCCCTTCTGCTGAACACTTCTCTGTCAACATGGGACATTACATGGACAAACTCAAACCCATAAGCTGAATTTACTGGAGACTTCAGTTCAGACACCAGATTTATTGTCTGAAAACCTGTTTGTTTGGGGCTTGATTTGGGACTGCCTGAGAAAAAGGCCTAAATCCTAACTTACAGTGACTCTTAATACTGTGGTTTAATTTTTAATGCAGCAGCTCACCACCACATATTGTTCTCCATACTGAATGTAGTCTTGCAGCACCAAAGACTGGTACCCTGCAGAGACTCCCCAGTGCTTTACTTGTGCAGTGGCAGCCCAGACATTAGGAGCAGCTAGAGCACACATGCTCTTTAGGATGTGCTAAGGGATATATGCATATGGGATATAATTTTTTCCTAAAGCTTAAAGTTTAAGCAATGACATTAAGCTTTCAAATACTTTTTCACAGGAAAGTTGCACAGCTATCTTTTGTCAAACATTTATAAGGGACACTTCAGGGTTTGTTGTTCAAATGGTTTATCTTAAGTTTACAGAACAACTATAGTGCTTGTTTCTCAATGTGCATTTTTATTTACTTCTTGGGATGATCCTGAAATTGTCCAAACTCAAACGGTGAAAGTGGTTCAATCCAACTCTCGTTTAAACATAGATGTCCTATTCATAAGCACCATAAACTTAAATTGAAGTCTCAAAATTTTGAATACACCCTTCCATGCATTCACAGAACACACTTCTCTTCACCTTCACCTTTCACAGTGATCAAATCACTTGCCACCTACTAAAGTCTCTAAATACTGTTTTATTAAAAAAACAAGGTAACTTACATATAAATGTTCAAAGGGCTATATTTGTTTGAAGAAAGCAGAACTCCTTCTGTAACATATACAAGCTATTTTGAGCTTATCAACATAAGTTGCTATATCTTTTGCAATAAAATTGTCTCAAAGGTACATGCAGTGCATGTCATCTCATATGGGGTTAAAAAATAAACAGCAAATACAGCCCACAAAATTTTAGTTTCTGTAACACATCTGAGGTTATTATTACATTATGGAAGACTCAGCAAGGTTGGCAAAGTCCTGGGTGCTTCAGTGGTGTCCTTCTACATGCTCAGATGAAAAAGATCCTTAGAGTGAGCTACCACAAAATTACCTGTCAGAGGCATCAGTCAACTGAAGCAAAGCCTAATGACTGAAGGGCATCAAAATTATATGTACTTTCCAAGGTCTGCAAGATCATGTCTTATTTGGAATCACACTTCCTTTGGAAACTGAAAAAAATCTAACACCAGCTCTACACACTTTCTAGATGTGGGACTGAATCAAAAGGGGATCCAGATGTCCAGCCACTTGATGCTGGGCCAGTTAGTTTCAGATGTCTGACCAGTTCAGTGGAACCTGCTGCGTGGCAGAGGCATGCCCACGAGAACAGATGGGATCTTTCTGAACTGGCTGCTGCATACACAGTCTGGAGGGTGTTGTCTGATCACCCTCTCCCTAAGAAATAAGCTTCTTTGCACTCAGAGTTGGGCTGGGGGCTTATCAGTGCTCAGCAACCACAACGCAGAACACCCACCTGGAAATACTGACTGATGTCCATGTTCTGGAAGCTTTAGCAGAGCTCAGTTTCAGCATCTCTTGCCAACTCCAGCATTAGCCACTCACATTTTCAGTGAGCCACCAAATTCAATTAAGCATCCAGCCATCTCTTCAGAGAGAAGGAACTCAAAGTCCTGTTTCTCCAGAGCAGGACACAGCATTTCTGCTGCCACTGTGCCACCCTGCAGAGAAGGTACTGTCCACAGCGTGCACCTCCTGCTCCTCAGCTGCTGCTGCTTTGCCAGTTTGGCAAGAGGAGTTTCTCCATGGCTGCTGCTGACAGGTGGGCAGACAAGCTTCCCCTTCCTCCTCGCACTCCTTCCCCATGGCTCTCCAGCACACAGGGGGAACTATACCAATAATCAGGAAAAGCTCTGGAGTTAAGCATCCAGCCAGGATCAACCTAATCTAAATATATTTAGTGAGTCAACACCCTACCTGTAACCCCACAGAAAATCATCCATGTTATCTATTTAGAAAGCCAAAGCAAGCAGTAGGTAGTATCAGAAATATTACCAAGACATCAAATTAAGTTACTTTTCTGTGGTATTACATACCTTAAATTACTTCATGGTTGAACAAAGCCATTATCATTCTGTTAGCTATTTTTTTCTGTCCACGAGCAACATTATGGAGACAACTTGATCCCGTTTCTTTTCCATTCCCATCTCATTTTGAGACATCTTGGACAGTATCAGGCCATTTATATTTGCTAAATCATGTACATACTGGAAACATTACATATGTACATCTATGCAGCTGGATAGTTCAAATTCCTCAAAATAATCATTTTTCCTTGTTAAACTGGGGGAGGAAGGGGGATGAGGGTTTTAGCACTGCATCAGCAACACTGCTCACAATCAACTGTGTCAGTCTTACTGAACAGCAGGAAACATGTTATTTTCCTTATACCAGTTTAACCCATTCTCTGATTTCTAATGAGAACTCTGATAGTGCAGTTCAAAAATTCCAAGACTCATAGAAATTACTTCTTTTTAAGCACAAGAAATTGTATAAGTTCCACTGTATTATCAAGTATACTCACTTCTCTCACATGCAAATCATCATGGGGCCATGTTGTAGGCAAACCCATAAGCATGTTAAGAATGCCTCCCCCATGTGAGGGTCACTCATGTTATTCACTAAATCTTCTCTCCCCCTACCTCAGGAATCTTCTAGAGGCATTCACACTGGTGTGAATGAGATTGTTCTGTCAATTCATAAAGCGATTCCTCCTTTCAAATGAGGCAGGAAGATGAGTAGGACAAAATCAGGCTATTTTACACCTACCAAGAAAAGATGAGAACTTCACTTACCCACCTACAAGCTCAGAAAAAACAGAATGGGCTTGCTGACAACTTGTTCTGCGCAGGTCTGTGTAGGTTCTCCTGCCACCCGCTCACAGTGCCGTTCTGAGCACCTTCCTGTAGAAACACAGCTGCCATCTGTGATGTGTGGTTTGCTCTCCCTCATCCTCTCCCCGAGGGCAGAACCACGCGTTTATTTTTAC